CTCTCTCTCTCTCTCTCTCTCTCTCTCTCTTTACTAAACCCTCTTTTTGGTGTTTCTCTCAAGCGTTCAGAATGGGATTTAGATGACCGTCGTTCTTCTGTCACTTTTCCCGTTTTGTTTTTATTTCCGTGTTTTTTTTGTTTTTGTCGAGATCAGTCAAGGTTGAAAGTGACGTAGATGAAATGGAAATAAAAAATATGTATATACAAACAGGGTGACTCAAAAAAAATATTGTGTTTGTGAGGTATATTTTAGCTGTGTTAGTGAGGTGTATTTTAGCTGTGTTTGTGAGGTATATTTTAGCTGTGTTAGTGGGGTGTATTTTAGCTGTGTTAGTGAGGTGTATTTTAGCTGTGTTAGTGGGGTGTATTTTAGCTGTGTTCGTGGGGTGTATTTTAGCTGTGTTAGTGAGGTGTATTTTAGCTGTGTTAGTGGGGTGTATTTTAGCTGTGTTCGTGGGGTGTATTTTAGCTGTGTTCGTGAGGTGTATTTTAGCTGTGTTAGTGAGGTGTATTTTAGCTGTGTTAGTGAGGTATATTTTAGCTGTGTTTGTGGGGTGTATTTTAGCTGTGTTAGTGAGGTGTATTTTAGCTGTGTTAGTGGGGTGTATTTTAGCTGTGTTAGTGAGGTATAGTTTAGCTGTGTTAGTAAGGCATTTTTAGCTGTGTTAGTGAGGCATCTTTAGCTGTGTTAGTGAGGCATATTTAGCTGTGTTAGTGAAGCATTTTAGCTGTGTTAGTGAAGCATCTTTAGCTGTGTTAGTGAGGCATCTTTAGCTGTCTTAGTGAGGCATCCTTAGCTGTGTTAGTGAGGCATCTTTAGCTGTCTTAAGGATGGCGAGAGACACAGAGTTATGGTAATGGACACTGTTGTATTTACTCACTAGCTGATCTCTCTCTCTCTCTCTCTCTCTCTCTCTCTCTCTCTCTCTCTCTCTCTCTCTCTGCCCCTAAGGACCCTAAAGACCTGGCTCTCTCCCTTGCTACAGGAGAGAGAGAAAAAATGAGAGAGGTAATATTAGAAAAGTTAGTGTTACCACCACCGATTGTATCATTATTATTAGTAGTAGTGGTAGTAGTAGTAGTTGTAGTAGTAGTAGTAGTAGTAGTAGTTGTTGTAGTAGTCGCAGTAGTAGTAGCCCCACTATTCTGAACAGCTGTTTAAAATAATGGGTTCTAGGGATGTTTGGCCTCTGACCTTCCTAAAATTCCCCCAAAACGTCAAAACATAAAAGCACATGAAAGTGGGTTTGGTTGTACTGAACCAGTGAACACGTCTGTCAGATTTCTAATTGATTGGTCCAGGACTGAAGGGTTACGATTAATTGTTTGTAAGAGGAAAAAAACAGATGAGCAACGCTAAACACAATAATAATAATAATAATGATAATAATAATAATAATAATAATAATAATAATAATAATAATAATAATAATAATAATGTCAACAACAACAACACCCAGAATAACTGTCCACCAACAACATTGATGACGTCACACTATACTGTATCCCAAATCGCAGCTTTTCTGACATAGCTCCCATGAAAGCTGTTGTAATCCACTTCCGTCACATATGTAATCTCTACTTGGGATTAAACCCACCGTGAGCTGCCGGTGTGTGGAAATTATTAACCCGCGGGTGGGATTTGCCAGACCTAAATAGGGAAATGAATATTCAGATGGAACTGTCGAGTCTCCAGTGTAAACAAGGCGCTCATCCCGAGGCCCCACATGTAAACAATTGGGTCGTAGTTATGCTGGTGAGGTGTCTTAGGGGAGGTGTGACGCACGACCCCTCCCTCCCTCCCTCACTTTGTCCTGCTGGTGAGGTGTCTTAGGGGAGGTGTGACGCACGACCCCTCCCTCCCTCCCTCACTTTGTCCTGCTGGTGAGGTGTCTTGGGGAGGTGTGACGCACGACCCACTCCCTCCCTCCCTCACTTTGTCCTGCTGGTGAGGTGTCTTAGGAGGTGTGACGCACGAACCCTCCCTCCCTCCCTCACTTTGTCCTGCTGGTGAGGGGTCTTAGGAGGTGTGACGCGACCCCTCCCTCCCACTCCCCTCACTTTGTCCTGCTGCTGGTGGGGTGTCTTAGGGAGGTGTGACGCACGACCCCTCCCTCCCTCCCTCACTTTGTCCTGCTGTTGAGGGGTCTTAGAGAGGTGTGACGCACGACCTCCCACTCCCTCCCTCACTTTGTCCTGCTGGTGGTGTCACTTAGGAGGTGTGACGCGACCCCTCCCTCCCTCCCTCACTTTGTCCTGCTGGTGTTGAGGGGTCTTAGGAGAGGTGTGACGCACGACCTCCACTCCCTCCCTCACTTTGTGTCCTGCTGGTGAGGTGTCTTGAGTGGAGGTGTGACGCACGACCCCTCCCTCCCTCCCTCACTTTGTCCTGCTGGTGAGGGGTCTTGGAGAGGTGTGACGCACGACCACTCCCACTCCCTCCCTCTCACTTTGTCCTGCTGGTGAGGGTGTCTTGGGAGGTGTGACGCACGACCTCCTCCCTCCCTCACTTTGTCCTGCTGGTGAGGTGTCTTCGGGGAGGTGTGACGCGACCCCTCCCTCCCTCACTTTGTCCTGCTGGTGAGGGGTCTTGGGAGGTGTGACGCGCGACCCCTCCCTCCCTCCCTCACTTTGTCCTGCTGGTGAGGGTCTTGGGAGGGTGGGCACGACCCCTCCCTCCCTCCCTCACTTTGTCCTGCTGGTGAGGTGTGTCTTAGAGGTGTGACGCGACCTCCTCCCTCCCTCACTTTGTCCTGCTGGTGAGGGGTCTTAGAGGAGGTGTGGCACGACCCACTCCCTCCCTCCCTCACTTTGTCCTTGCTGGTGAGGTGTCTTAGGGGAGGTGTGACGCACGACCCCTCCCTCCCTCCCTCACTTTGTCCTGCTGGTGAGGTGTCTTCAGGGAGGTGCTGGTGAGGTGTCTTAGGGGAGGTGTGACGCACGACCCCTCCCTCCCTCCCTCACTTTGTCCTGCTGGTGAGGTGTCTTCAGGGAGGTGTGGGCTAGGACCCTTCCCTCGGTCTTGCCGCACTTACTGTTGCTCTCAGGATATCAAGGGGAAGGCTTTCAGTGTGGGCGAGGTGACCTCCTTCGGCAGGGTACTCCTCTGATGCTCCTACCATAATCTTGTCGCTCAGTATGGAGGACGTAACCCCCTTCGGGTTTAAGTAGCTCCTCCTCCTCTGCCCTGTCGCCCCTCTTCTCCCAGTAGCTTCTCAGCTGCCCTCTGGTAACCAGGAGTGTGGTCGATGTTCTCTTCGGTGTTCAAAAGACCTGATTATCCCTTCCGTCCTACATCCAGTCCTATGTTTTTCCTCTCCTTTCCTCCCTCACCCCCCCTCCCTACCGCACCTCTCTGCTGTACTCAGGAGGCCAGGATATAATTTAAAGCACCCAGTGATGTGAACTCCTTCCTCGTAGCATTCTACCAGCCCCGCGTTGCTCCAGCTGGTGGTGGTGGTGGTTCCCTGGAATGAATGTGGCCGGAGTGTGTTTACATTACCCACAACAATCCCCTACAGGGCCTGGGCTACTGCCACTCGTCGCTCATCTCCCTCCCTTCCTCCCTCTCTCCCTCCTTCCCTCCCTCCCTCCCTCCCTCCCTCCCCCACCAGAAGGGAGTATGGTATCACAGCGTTACTCTCTAGGCAGGGAGTCGTGAGCACTTTATGAGCTGTGGGCCGCCATTTACTGAGTTACAGTTAGATACAGTTGGCGTGTGAGGTTTGTGTGAGCAAGTCCTTACTCTTGGGTTATGAGCACTGGTCTTCCTCTCCTCCCTCCCTCCTTCTCCCTCCCTCCCTCCTCCCTCCCTTCTCCCTTCCTTCTTCTCCCTCCCCCTCCTTCCTTCTTCTCCTCCCCTTCCTTCTTCTCCCTCCTTCCTCCTCCCTTCTTCTTCCTCCCCTCGTTCATTCTCCCTACCTCTCCTTCCTCCCTTATTTAGCCTCCCTTTCTCTACTACCTCCCCAGACCCTACCCTCCCTTCCCTCACCCTCACCTCCAACCCTCTCTCAAACTATTTTCTCCCCACCCTTACTTAACTTTCTTCAACAAATTTTCTCCCCACTCCCCTACCCGCCATAAATATTTCCTCCTATTCTCCCCACCTGTTTACCCTCTCACGCTCACCCACTCATTTCCCTCTCACCCTTCCTCCCTATTTCGGCTTACATCCGTCCCCCTCCCTCTCTTTCCGCTTACCTTTGTTACCTCCCCTCGCCTCCCCTTTCCCCCATTATTTATCTCCCATTCCCTTTCCTTATTCTTTCACGCCTTCTCCCTCTTCCCTCATCTTCCTTTCCTTCCTCACCACTCCTCTTCTTCCCACCTCTCCTCCTCCTCCTCGTTCACCCTCTCCTCTCCCCTACCCCCTAGTCCCCCTTCTCTCCCTTTATCTTTCCCTTTACCCCTCATCTTCTCCTGTCTCCCCTCCCTCTCGTTCCATCTCCCCTCCGATTGCCTAGTCCCTCTTCTATCTCCCTCCCCTTGTTCCACCCTTATCCCCTCGTCTCTCCCCCTTTCCCTTTGTCTCCCCTTACCCTCGCTGGTTGACCTGGGTGGTGATGAGTATTTTTTTACGAGAGGACAAACTAGACGAGGTGGTGCAGCTGTCAGGTAGGAGAAGGTGCATTAACTAATTAATCATAGAGGAAAGATAAATACGGTGAGTATAAGCTGGAATAAGGTGTGTGTGTGTGTTAGTGAAATAAGTTGGTAGTATTGAAATAAGGATAGGGGAAAATAAGGGTCGTCATGGGTGAAATAATAAGTATTTGGTGTAAACAAAAGTCGATATAAGTGAATTAAATCCATAATGTGAAATAAGATGGTATATGTAAATAAGGTAAATAAGATGTGTAGTGGTGAAATAAGTTGGAATAATCTAACAGCAAGAATATAGACGATAAAACTGAGACCAACAGTAGTGACGAATAACCTTATAATAACGGCAAACAGAGGAATAATCTTAAAGTGAGAATAAACAGAGAAATTTACCAAATGATTATTATCTCAACCAAGGCTCTCAGCTCAGGGCGTTCATCCATGAGTCTCAGCTTAGGGGCGTTCATCCAAGAGTCTCAGCTCAGGGGCGTTCAATCAAGAGTCTCAGTTCGGGGCGTTCAATCAAGAGTCTCAGCTCGGGGCGCTCAACCAAGAGTCTCAGCTCGGAGCGTTCAACCAAGAGTCTCAGCTCACAGTATGGGTGAACGAGCGCCGGTAACAACACCTGGTGAAGAGTGTATGCAAATGACCCGAAATTGACCGGCAAATTTGCATAGATAAAAGGGTTAGGTGTAGCCCTCAAGAACCCAGGCTGGTGGTGTTATGGCGAGGGGAAGGGTGAAGCTTTCCTGAGAGAGAGAGAGAGAGAGAGAGAGAGAGAGAGAGAGTTAAATCTTGAGTGGTATTTGCCTGGCCAGCACGTATACACAGACATACATATACACACACATACACGCATTTCAAAACTACAAGCGGAATACGTGCACAAGACAGAGATTAAAATAGCAATTACATTAACACAATAATAATGGCATAAAGACAAAACACAAGCGAGCAAACTATTGAAAATTTAAAGGAAATTACCCCTGCCCCCCCAAAAAAAACTGAATTATTTAGCATACAAATCAAAGGTGACATATTTAACGTGTACTGGACCTACCCAAACCTCTTAAGGATTCTGGTGGAAAATATAAGGTACTTGGTAACTATAAATGACAGAAGAAACTCCAGAAAAGAAAGTATGAACATCGTCGTCGCGGCCTGATCACGGTCCTGACAAGAGTTAATGGCATTCGATTCCAATAAACGATAAGGAAGTGCCGAGTAGTATCCGAGCCTAGCGATATCCAGGAGCATAAAATCACCTCATCCTTGACCACCGAAGGGTCAAGACGTACCTGGCTTCTCTGGCAGCAGCCAGGTCAACTGTTATGTTGGCCCATACCAACTCCCTCCCCTGAACCCCTCCTCCCCACCGGAATATCAATAAGTTCTCGCCAGAAGTTACTATTTCATTTAGGAAAGGAATGGAACCAGTGTTGAACAGAGTTGAACAGTGGTGAACAGTGGTGAACAGTGCTTAAGTCAGTGAAAAACAACTCAACAGTAACAGCTGAGTCGTTCCCAAGCTAACCTTCACACAGTGAGGTCCCGTGTAGCTCCAGAGTGTTAAAGGTAGTGTCTTAACTTAAATATGAACAGGAACATTTCTTAAAACTATGCACAAGAGTCGGCCAGACGGAGTTACAAAGTATCAGGAAGCAGACCAGCCAGTGTACAACAATCTCGGCCTCAAGTTTGGGCGCCTTCTGTCAGAAAAGTTTTCGGCTGAGGGAGAGAAAGGGAGAGAGGAGAGACACTTGAGGAAACAGCCACCTTACGAGTAAGATCATATTATAGAAAACGGGAGACGGGTTTAGGATCACATTGGTCAGTAGAATCATAGGAAAATGATAGAAGATATTGATTATACAACACGTTATTAGGATTATAGAAAGCAGAGGGGGTTTTGGGATCAGATAATAAGCACAAAAATGGGAGATCAGAATTGTACAATGGGTCAGTAAATATAGAAAACGAGAGATGTGGGGTGGGGTGGGGTGGGGTGGGGCTTGAGGTGGGGAGTGGGTGGGGTGAGGATAGCCGTGAGGCTCGAGGGAATACCGAAGGGGTCGAAGCCTGAAAAGTTGGTACTTAGAATTTTCCTCCTCGCGGGTAACTTGGAGATGTAAGACCACACCTAATTAACTGAGTAGAGTTAAAGCAGGGATGGAAAGTCCAAAATGGCTTCAATATTACACCGAGACTCTGCCTTAGATAGATACGTTCACTTTAGCACCCGTTAAGAAATAAAATTAGGGGTTATGTCAAGATTAGGCAACCCAGTATATTTAACCTGATGATAAATACTCTTACACGAACCTAACCTAACCTAACCTAACCTAACCTAACCTAAGCTAACCTAACCTAACCTAACCTAACCTAAGCTAACCTAACTCCTCCATGTAGCGTTAGGGTGTGTAATCAGGTTAAATATGTTAGGGGTGTTAACAGCTTTCATGTGACCCAAAATTGGCATAGAGATTTTTTTTTTAAACTGAATTAAGTTAGTAATGGAAGAAGGGAGGGGAGGTGAGAGAGGGTTAATTCTCCAGAAAACAGCTGACAGGACTGGAAGGAGGCGAGGGGTGGAGGGAACAGCCATCACGAAAAACAAGTGGAGGGTGGCGGGAATTTAAGGGAGCAGCGACCAAAGGAAACAGGTAAAGGGTGGCGGGAATTTAAGGGAGCAGCGACCAAAGGAAACAGGTAAAGGGTGGCGGGAATTTAAGGGAGCAGCGACCAAAGGAAACAAGTGGAGGGGGGAGTGAGGGGTAGAGGGAGAGTCACGGGAACAGCCACCAAGAAAAATAAAGAGGAGGGGGTGAGGGGAAGAGGGACAGTCAAGGGAACAGCCAATGGAATAACAAGTTCAAAGAAAACGGAAGACCAAATTAAGAAAACGGAGGAAAGAATTAAGAAAACGTAATAACAAAGAAAATGTAGTGCAGGGACTTAGATTTAACGCCTTAAGGGGAGACTCACCCACCAGCCATCTTACCATTACTCCCTGTATGAAAAAGCCAAAACAAGTCGTGAATTTTGCTCTGAGTTTGCGAATAATTTTAGATCCACTTCAGCGAGGGGAGATTTGGCGACGACCGTGGAAACTTTTACGATAACGACGTCAGATATCAAGAGATGAGGAGGATAAAAAAAACACCAGCAGCATTGTTGGATTAGATATTAGCTAATTAAAAGATATAATTGAAATTAGAGGATGTGGCGTATCAGAGATGAGAGTGAAAGATATCGGAATTAGGGAATGAAAGGTGGAATGGAGAGCGAAATATATCGTAATTAAAATTGAAAGGTGTTTGGGATAAGAATTAAAGATATAATACTTGGGAATGAAAATTATCGTGATTAATAACGATCGATTTCAGAGCTCAGGGAGTGGACGATATCAGAGTTCAGGGAGAGGAAGATATCAGAGCTCAGGGATAGGAAGATATCAGAGCTAAGGGAGAGGAAGATATCAGAGCTCAGGGAGAGGAAGATATCAGAGCTCAGGGAGAGGAAGATATCAGAGCTCAGGGAGAGGAAGATATCAGAGCTCAGGGAGAGGAAGATATCAGAGCTCAGGGAGAGGAAGATATCAGAGCTCAGGGAGAGGAAGATATCAGAGCTCAGGGAGAGGAAGATATCAGAGCTCAGGGAGAGGAAGATATCAGAGCTAAGGGAAAGATATTTGTTTTATGGAGAGGAAGATATCAGAGAGAAGATATCAGAGCTCAGGGAGTGGACGATATCAGAGCTCAGGAGAGGGGAAGATATCAGATAAGGGAGGAAGATATCAGAGCTCAGGGAGTGGACGATATCAGAGCTCAGGGAGAGGAAGATATCAGAGCTCAGGAGAGGAAGATATCAGAGCTTAAGGGAGAGGAAGATATTTGTTTGTGAGAGGAAGATATCAGAGCTCAGGGAGAGGAAGATATCAGAGCTCAGGGAGATAAGACATTGTTTCAGGAGAGGAAGTATTTACTGGAGCCTCAGGGAGAGGGAAGCGACATTTCCAGAGCTCAGGAGTAGACATCAGAGTTAAGGGAGAGGAAGATATCAGAGCTCAGGAGAGGAAGATATCAGAGCTCAGGAGAGGAAGATATCAGAGCTAAGTGAGCAAAGATATCAGAGCTCAGAGGGAAGTTATCAGGAGCTAAGGGAGGACGATATCAGAGCTCAGGGAGTGGACGATATCAGAGCTCAGGGAGAGGAAGATATCAGAGCTCAGGGAGAGGAAGATATCAGAGCTCAGGGAGAGGAAGATATCAGAGCTCAGGGAGAATATCAGAGCTCAGGGAGAGGAAGATATCAGAGCTCAGGGAGTGGACGATATCAGAGCTCAGGGAGTGGACGATATCAGAGCTCAGGGAGAGGAAGATATCAGAGCTCAGGGAGAGGAAGATATCAGAGCTCAGGGAGAGGAAGATATCAGAGCTCAGGGAGAGGAAGATATCAGAGCTCAGGGAGAGGAAGATATCAGAGCTCAGGGAGAGGAAGATATCAGAGCTCAGGGAGAGGAAGATATCAGAGCTCAGGGCAGAAAGATATCAGAGCTAAGGGCAAAAAGATATCAGCTCAGAGGGAGAAAGATATCATAATACTGATAGCGGTAAAACTTGGAGGACTCAACAATGATGATTGATCTTAGGGTCGGTGGCCGTTCTCGGTGTCTCTGCTAAAGTGACTGAGTTTGGGAGAGTTTGGTCTGGTTTACCCCTGGAGGCCACTACTACGACCAAGTTGACGTGGGCCTCCCTGGAGTCTTAGGTCTACTGGGGTCATCTGGCGTCGGTGATGGTGGGTCTTAGGTCAACTGAGGTCATTGATGGACGGGAGGGAGGAGTTATATGAGAGTTATTGATGAAGGAAGAACCTTTGTCACCTCCATCTTATACTTCCATCTTCTTTCCTTTCCTTCCTTTTTTTCCCTTTTTATCCTTCATGTCCCTCTATCCTTCTCCCTTTCTCATTCACTGCTTTCTTTCCCTTTCTCCATGTCTCCCTTTCTTCATCTATCCCACCTTCCCTCCCTCCTCTCACCTCCCTTCCCTCCCTTTCCCTTCCCTCCCTCCCTCCCTCACACCTAGCTTGGTCCCGTCAAGACAAACACCTCAGCCGAAGCACAACATTAAAGCCCAGACTTAATATATAATTCCCCTCGGTCTGGACAAAAGAGACCCTGCTTCCCCTCTCCGTTCCTCCCCTCTTTCTCTCCCCTCCTATCCTTTCTCTCTCCTTCTGTACTCTCACCCCCTTTCACTCTTTTTCTCGTGTCCCCTCTTCCGCTTTCCTCTTTTTCTTCTTTATTTCACCTCCTCTGCTTTTCTCCTCCCCTTCCTTTTACTTTCTTTTTCTTTCTCTCCCCTTCCCTCTTTATCCCTTCTTTCCATTTCCGCTTTATTCCCATTCCTTCCTTATTCCACATTACTCCTTTTCCTCTCTTCCTTGCTTTTCTCTCTCCTTTTCTTTCCCCTCTCCACCTTTCATCTCTCCTTACCCTTTCCCCCTTCCCCTTGCCATCCCTTGCTCCCCCTCCCATCCCTCCGTCCCCCTCTCTATTCAGGTGTAGAAGTCCTATAGATCTCCCACCTCCTTCCACCTCCCCCACCCACCTTCCCTCTCCCTAGCCCCTCCTCCCCCCAACATAACCCTTCACCGTCTTCCTCTTCCCCCCTCCCGTGCCCTTTACAGACACGCCTCCCATTCCCTGCCTCTCACCCCATCACCCCTCCCCTTACCCCTCCCCCTCCCCTTACCCCCTCCACCCTCTCCTCGTACCCCTCCTATTCATATCATCGTCTTAAAGAGATAAAAAGAACACCTTCATATTTAAGAAAAATAACAGTAAAAAATCATCGCTCCTCGAATTAAAAGTGACTAGACCCATAATAACGCCTGGATAAAGTTAACATATAACGCCTGGATAAAGTTGACATATAACGCCTGGATAAAGTTAACATATAACGCCTGGATAAAGTTAACATAACGCCTGGATAAAGTTAACATATAACGCCTGGATAAAGTTAACATATAACGCCTGGATAAAGTTAACATATAACGCCTGGATAAAGTTAACATATAACGCCTGGATAAAGTTAAGAAATTTATGGATATCTGTAAATATTAGCGATATCCATTTATCTTCATAAAAAAATTATTTCCATCACATTTCGTCTTAAAAGCTTTTCAGTATCGGGTCAAACCTAGAAAAGACTGCAAAGAAGGAGGTCTCTCTAGAAGGAGGAGAAGGAGGAGGAGAGGAGAGGAGGAGGAGGAAAGGAGGAAGAGGAGGAGGAGAAAAGGAGGAGGAAGAGAGAAGGAGGAAGAGAGGAGGAGGAGGAGGAGGAGAGGAGGAGGAGGAGGGACAGATGTAGGACTAAAGAAAGCGACACAGTGAAGCTCCATTCATAGAGGGCGGGGGAATGAGACAGTTTACTCCCTGTCAGTAAGGCGTAAGTAAAATTGAATTCCCTCGGCAGCCATTCCGTCAGTGTCAACGCTTTTGGGGGAGACGTGGGTGGGTGGGGGGGGGGGGGGGGGGGCTCTTATGTCCACTCATGGCCCGGGCAGTGGCGAGGCTAGAGGGTCATTCGTCCTCTGAGGATAGTGGCCGGTCTTGGTTGTGGACGGAGGGAGGTGTAGCGTCTTGAGGGAGTTAAGTGAGGGAGATTTTTTTAAGGGAGTGGAAAGGCCTCATAGGGGGATTGAGAAAGGGGATTTTTATTCAGGGAGTGTATAGCGTCTTGTTGAAGTTATAGAGGGAGGCTTAAAGGGAGGGAACATTTTTTTAAGGGAGGGTAAAGTTTCGTGAAGAATTAAAGGGAGGGCAGATTTTCCTGGTGGACCTAACCTAACCTAACCTAACCTAAACTTAACTTAACTTAACTTAACTTAACTTAACTTAACTTAACTTAACCTAACCTAACCTAACCTAACCTAACTTAACCTAACCTAACCTAACCTAACCTAACCTAACTTAACTTAACCTAACCTAACCTAACCTAACCTAACCTAACCTAACTTAACCTAACCTAACCTAACCTAACCTTCCTCCCATCCCTCCTACCCTCTCTTTCCTTTTTTGCATTTCCCTGCTACATTCCTTCTCCTTCTCTCTCCTTCCTTTCCTCCTTCCTTCCTTCCCTCCTACCATAGATCCACCACCTATAGGTTCACACAGTAGATGGACGTGACAAGTCTAACCACTTAACACACCCAAGTGAGACGGTAACCACAACTACCACCATCACCACCACTACTACCACCTCCCTCACTCAGTATCACCACTACTAACCACACCTTCACCACCACCACTACCCATACCTTCACCACAACCACCCACACCCTCACCACCACCACCAGCCACTACCACCACCACTACAACTACCACCATCACCACCAACCACGCCCTCACCACCACCACCACCACCACCAGAAGCTAGTAGGAACGTGAGAAAGACACAGCTGTTTGAGAAATCTTTTGTAGTGAGAGTTTATGTGGAAAATATTTGTAAAATGCACTGGAAAAAAATATACAAGACATAAATTTTTACAAGGCAGGACAAGAGTGCAGCAGCTGTGAACCGCAGAAGAATGCCTGAAAGGGCTTTTGACTGCTGTGAAATGCTGTGAAAAGGGTGAAAAGGGAGTGATCGGCTTGCTGGAGATTGTGAAAGGAGCGGGGTTTCGAATTAAACCGAGTTGTGATTTGGGTTGTAAGATGTTGTGAAGAGAGTTATGGGGTTATTGTTTTGACTGAGTGGGGCTTGGGGTTATGAGAGGGCCCTAGAGTGGGATATGAGAGGTCAAGACGAGGAGGGGATTATAAGAGGGCAAGAGGTAGGAGGGATTATGAGAGGGCAGGATGGAGGGGGGTAATGAGAGGGGAGCAAGAGGGAGGGTGGATAGAAGAGGGAGCAAGAAGGGAGGAGGGGGTTATAGAGAGGGCAAGATGGAGGAGGGTAATGAGAGGGCAAGGGAGCTAGTGGGGGCAATAAATGCAGGTATAGGTAGCAATGTCTAGTTTACCTTCACCTGCATCTCATTAATCTTACGACGAAGGTAATTAGATTTTTAATATTTGGATTCCACCATCTTTTCCTGTAGCCGCCCCTGTAGCCGTCCCTGTAACCCGTCCCTGTGGCCGTCCCCTGTAGCCGTCTCCTGTAACAGGTCCCTGTAGCCCGCCCCTGTGTGGAGTCCCCTGTGTGGCAGATCCCCTGTAACCGTCCCTGTAGCCGTCCCCTGTGGCCGTCCCTGTAGCCCGTCACTCTTGTAACCGTCCCCTGTAGCCGTCCTGTAACCGTCCCCTGTAACCCAGGTCCTATGGCCGTCCCCTGTGGCCGTCCCCTGTAACCGTCCCCTGTACCCGTCCCCTGTAACCTTGCGTCTCTCCTGTAGCTCGGGTTAAGTAGTTCCTTACCAGCGCCTTAAAAACACCTGCCATTAATTACAAACAAACAAATCTTGAAGGGCTGTGTGTGTGCTCTCTCTCTCTCTCTCTCTCTCTCTCTCTCTCTCTCTCTCTCTCTCTCTCTCTCTCTCTCTCTCAACCTTCACCCCACATATCGTATAGTTGATGACAGTCGTGGTGGCGCCAATTTTCTTATTCCGGGTTTCAATGATGACTGTAAATCCACAACATTCCATCTATACATATAAGAGCTATTTTATTTCCGGGTTCCATCGTCTCCTTCAGGAATATTTGTAATCTTTATCTTTTTTTTGCGCTATTTTTTTATCATTTTATGTATTATCGTATTTTTGTGGTCGGATTTCTTTTATTATCAATTATTTGAGAGTATTTACCTATTCATCTGGTCCTATTTACTACCCTATTAAAAGTTTCTCCTACGTCAGTACACTCTATATACTTTCAAACTGACCCGACCTCTCCCCTTTAACTCTCACTCCAGTCCCCACTTCCTACTCTCTTTCTCTCTCTCTCCCTCTCATCCTTTTTTTTCACAGCTTTATTCATTTGTTTCTCCCTCTCCTTCCCCCTCTCTCCCTCTCTCCTTTTTCCTCGCCCCCCCGATTCCAATATCTCGGCTTCACCCTCATTTACTTCAAAACTTCGACCTCTTGAAGACAAAGATTCTGGGGAGGTTGTCACGTGGGTCACATTCTTCCCTGACGGTGAGCAAACGGTGTCACCCATCTCGACATCATCCACATTGTTCTCCAACTTGAGGCTGTACAGAGACACGTCACGACAGCCTCCCAGATACTACAGTTCACCCCACACAGTGTTAAAAAAAAATATTTCGAAAATCTCTAATGCATTTTAAGACGATTTGGAAGATTTAAATACTGTCCCGAAATGATAGAATGTATGAAAATATGCTTCGAATCACCCACCGAAGCGTTTGAGGCTCATCTAAATATTGTCTTTATACTGTATATATATATGAGACATTGTTATGACCTTCAGTGTCCATTATTAGTACAGGAGTTACCCGGAGTGAGACCTGCGATGTTTGGTAGTCACACTAGATAACAGCCTTCTCATATTTGTCCCGGGCGAGAGAATGAACTCAAGACACTGTACTCAAGTCATTAAAATCCTTATAAGCGTTTTAATATAAAAATATGAGTG